CCAGGGTCCTGGGATTGAGCCCCACATCCGTGGGAGACCTGCTTCTCTCTCTCTCACTCCCCCTGCTTGTGTTCCCTCTCTCGCTGTGTCTCTGTCTGTCAAATAAATAAATAAAAATCTTTAATGAAGAAAACTAGAGCCCACTCTACATCCATGTGTGTTTACCAGTTATTCAAAGAAAGTTAATTGAAACACGGCATAAGAAATGATTATTAGTGGTTACTTCTGAGTGGTGGGTTGGGGGCTGGAGGTGGTTGGTTTGGTTCTTTTCACTTCACACCCTTTTGTACTGTTTGGCGTTCAGTTGTTTCAGATAGCACCCATGATTGAACTCTCTGACTCTGGAGTCCAAGCTCCTAACCTCCAAACTATATGGCTTCTCCCCATGTCCACACAGGTGACGCTGGCAGGCTACAGCTTCGCCTTCCGCTATGCCCCCGGCGGCAAACACGTGGCCTATGTGGAAGGCAGCAGGAGCCCACATGAGGGGGATCTTGAGTTCATTAGCCTTGACCTGCACAAGGGATGTGGTAAGAGTCCAGAGAAGGGATTCAGGACCATGGAGACATGCTTCTCATACAAGGGCAGCTCTAGGTTTTCATAACCACAGACAGTAGGTAGCCAGACACAGGAATCAGGCTAAGCGAGGTAGAATAGGGATTCAGAACCATGGACAGCCTGCATTAGGGAGTTGTAGGGCAGCCATTCAGCACCAAGGACAGCAAGCAGCTGGACACAAGGAGGTTCCACAGGTCCCGGGGTCAGATTCAAGATCTGGTTTAGACTTGGAACCCATGAGAGTTGCCCAAGAGTCATTCAGGAGAGGCTGTCAAGGAGGCATCTAGCTGTCCATGCCTGGAGCACAGGAGAAGGTCTGGATGGAGACCCACATATCAGCAGTATCTCAGTTGTTGTCAGCTGAAGCCCTGGGAGAGGAATGAGATTATCCAAGGAAAGTGTACAGAGTAGGTATGAAGAGAGTACTTTAAGGAGAAGATTCCTTGAGGCTGCGCCTCTTTCCCAAATCCCTTGATGTCATGGCCATCCACGTGTCTACCCGTGTCCTCCCACCAGACTGAGCTCCCCCAGGAAAGGGGTGGTGCCTCTGCCTCCAGCATCGAGGAGCAGAAGGTCTGGCACAGTCAACTCTTGGTGCTTGTTATATGCTTACACAAATGGTTGTCTAAATCATGCCGTTTAGGAAGCATAAAAAAAATCCTACAGTCCGTTACCCTCCTCTGTTGAGGCTGCATTCAGTGTCCATCCTTCTGGGCTCCCTCATGCCTCCTCTGTAGCTCAGGTAATCCCACACCATACTTTGTCTCCATTAGACTGTCAAGGGTTAGGAGCCAACCAAACTCTTGCCTGGGATTTAAGAATGTGGAATGGGGCATGGTGCACAGAGCTCTGAGGACCCACTGAATGAATGAGTGCATGAAAGACAAGTAGACAAGGGAGTAAGCTAGTGAAAGCAGGGATGTAGGGACAGCTGAGAGAGTGAACGAGAGTAATTGATAGACTCATGAGAGCACAAGAGCAGGTGAATAAAAAGTGAATGAACAGACGAGCCTGTGTGCGTGGATGGTTGAGTGCATTGAGTCAGAAAAGGAGCAGAGGTGTCAGTGCATGGAGCATTCGGACTGAGCTGCCACCTCTTGCCCTCCCTCCCCAGGGCCTTCCCGCCGCAGTGACCTCCAGACCCTGGGCTACTGTTTGCTGAAGTGGCTCTACGGGATCCTGCCGTGGACAAACTGCCTTCCCAACATCGAGGGTATCATGAAGCTGAAACAGAAGTGAGTCTGGGGGTCAGCAGAACCCAGCACTGGCCCAGCATCCCCGAAGGTGGGGCAGAAGCTCAGAACCCCGCAGGGAACAAAAAGGAGGGGGAGGCGGCATCCAGCAGAGCCAAGGCCTCTGCAGTACTTGGGTGTGTCCTGTAGCATCCATTCCAGCAGACAAGTGTGGGCTCTGGAGTCACGCTCCTGGGGTCAGACTCTGACCCCACCACTGCAGTGTGTTGGGTGGGCAGCCTAATAACCTCCACAAGCCTCGGTGTTCTCTCTGGGATGAGATCTTATTAGCACCTACCTCAGGGCCTGTGGAAGGATTCAGGGGAGTCAGGTACATAGCACTCAGCACGGAGCCTGACCTGTAGAAAATACTCATGGTGCACAGGACACCATGACTCATTCATTCCTTCACAGACAAGTGGGCAACCTGAGCAGTGAAGCCTGGGCCCTGCTTCAGCATGTGGCAACACTGGCCACCCGAGTCCACACTTCCTGTCCCTGCCCTCTGCTTGTAAAACCACCGGATCCTGCTAGCTCTGGTTTAGACATTCAGGACCAAGGACAGCGCGAGAGTAGCTGGTCCCGAAGAGACATTCAGCACCAAGGACAGCAAGCAGCAGGGCTGGGAGGGAAGTGCACACGGCCACTTTGGTCTTCAGCACCAACGACCGTGGACAGCTGGGACGAGGGAAGCCCTGCGGGAGGTTGGGATTCAAGATCTGGTACAGCTGCGGGGGCGGGGGTGAGAGTTGCCCAGGAGTCATCCAGAGGGCCCATCTAGGAGATGGTTGGCCATCCATGTGTGAAGTGCAGGAATGAAGTCTAAACAGAGACTCAGACCTCATTGCTATCTCAGGAGTTGTCAGCAGAAGCCCTGGGAGAGAATGGGATTATCCAGGGAAAGTGTGCCTGGTGGGAAGAGGGAAAACTCCAGGGAACGGCATCGAGTCCCTCGTGCTTCTCAGTTCTCTGTGTGCCATGCCGCTGGTTCATGCTGAGCCTCTCTCTCGTTCTATTTTTCCCTTTTATAACCCCCCACCATCTTCTCTCAACCATGGACACCCACTCAAACATACTTAACATATGTTCTACTAATACATTTGCTTAAGTGTATCTGTATCCTTAACTCACGTGGTGGTGGTGGCACTATGTGTGTTTGACCTGCATAAATACTATTCTGCTCTAAATGTCATTTGTTTCTGGCATTTTTCACTCAGCACCGTGTTCTTCAACTTTAGCCACATCATTACACGTGCATTGAGTTTACTGCTTCTGATTCCTGCTTTTCAATGAGTTGTATAGACGTGTCTGTGACCTTGAACAATCTATGATGAGTGTATTTAATTTGCATAAATAGTACTGAGCTCTAAATTTCATTCTGTTTCTTGCTTTCTTTCACTTAGTGCTGTATTTTCTAATTTTAGCTAAGTTGCTAGTTCACTGCCTCCAAATACTGCTCCTGGATTTGTTTGTTTGGATGTATCTGGATCTTGAAAAATCCGTGATGTTGCTGTTGGGTGTGTATTTGGTTGGCACAAATGGTACCATGCCCTGAATCTCCTCCTCCTTCAGGGGTGTGTATTTGGTTGGCACAAATGGTACCATGCCCTGAATCTCCTCCTCCTTCAGGGGTGTGTATTTGGTTGGCACAAATGGTACCATGCCCTGAATCTCCTCCTCCTTCAGATTTCTGCTCAATCACTCCCCAGGGGAGGGCGTCAGGTTTCCTGCCTGTGGTTCTCAGAAGAAGGGATCTGCCCCCATCACACTGGCCTGCTCGTAATGACCTATTCGAGGCCAGCGTTTATCATACACTTGTCTGTGCCAGGCACTGTGCCCAGTGCTTCCTGTGTCATCCTCAGAACAATTCTGAGGTAAATGCTCTTATGACTGAGGCACAGAGAGCTCAGGGAATCAGCCCAGGTCACACAGCCACTAAGGAGAGGTGCTTAGACTCACAGCCAGGCCATTCGACTCCAGAGAAGTCTCTTTCACCTCGTAGCCGTGTGGGAGGCTTATCACAGATGGATTGATGGCGCTCAGATGCAGCCTTCCTTCACTCATCAGATACTTATTGAGCACTTACTATGCACCACACCATGGTCTAGTCCCTGGGGTCACGGGAATAACTGAGACAAATACCCTCTGGGAACTCCTATCCTAGTGGAGGTGACAGACAGTAAAGAGACAACAAGTGAAACACAGAGCATGTCACAGGCCAGACCGGTTGGGACCGTCGGGCCAGAGCCCTGGGTACCCACCAGGGGGACTGTCAGGGTGTGGGCACGCACCACTCCTTTAGATTTAATGGCCGGGGCAGGTCTCACGGCAATGGTGACAGGTGAGTCGCCTCCAGAAGGGCAGTGAGGCAAGGAGGATGTCTCACTTTGGCGCTGATACGCCCTTGACCTGCAGAAGGAGGAAGAGACACACAGAGAGAAGCCCTGGGCTCCCAGGCTTCCACAAGCAACCTCTGCCTCAGAAGCCAGCCTCAGAACCCACCACAACATGAGCCCATTGCCCTATTTTCTCAGAATTTATTTTTGCACTTCCTTTCTAGTTTTCCAGTAGCTCTCCATTTTTGAAACGAGGCCGGGTGAGAAGGAGTCAGAGAATTGGTAACAGTGGCAGTAGGAGCATATGGCCCAACTGCTAAAGCATTAAATGTGCCGGAAGCCTGTGAACAGCTCCTTCCCGCACTTCTGTTGTGTTAAGGACAAAGCTGAACTGCTCTTACAAGGAGATCCTAAACCACGGTGGCTCAAACGAGGTAGATGTTTACTTCCCTCTCGGGAACAGAGCCTTGGCCCCTTCAACATGCGTATATCCTCCTGTGGGGCTAGCTTTGCCGCCCCCATCTCTTGTTGCTTTGGAAGGGCAGGACTGGGAATGACATGCGTCTTTTTGGTCACATGGCCACCCCAAGCTGCAGTGGGGGCTAGGAAACATCTCTGGCCTGGGGCTGCTGACCCTTGGGATTGTGCCCTTAAAGGGGAGAAGTGACAGTGGACAGCAGGTAGAGACCCCTCCACAGTGCCACCTTCAGCCAAATTTCTGTGCGGGCAGGGACCGCATCAGCTCTCCCCCTCATGTGGTGCTCACAGCACAGCACTTGGCACATGGTGGGTGCTCACGAAATAGTTGCAGAATGAATGAACAAGGAAAGCATGCGTGAGCCTTCATTCACCAGCCCAGGCTTCCGTGTGGACCCACAGGTCAGGCAGACGCGGCCCCGGCCTTGGGGAGTTCCCAGGCTGGGAGGAGACACCTGGGCAGGAAGCAGGTGCTGCCTGTGAGGGTGGAGGCAGCCCCAGGAGCATCATGGGAGCAGAGTGGAGGCAGGTCACCTGGCCTCAGGCCACTGGGTGCCTTTACCCAAGCGATGCCTGACCCAGTGTGTACAGAGCAGAGGGCTTTCCCAGACAGGCAAGGGAGGCAGGATGTCTACGCAGATAGGATAGCACATACATGAACTACTCATTCATCCAGAGCCTGTTTCCCGAGGGCATTTATGTGCCAGTCCTTGTGCTGGGAAATGCTGAAGACCCAGATGTGAATCAGCGGAGGGCACCACTTGTCATCGGTGAAATCACCCATCGAGGCTTCACTGGGTTGAATCCTCCATCCACTGCTTCCTCTGATTCCTAAGAACAGCCCTATCCCCCTTTTCACATCTTTGCCGCTTTCCACTTCAAGAGAGATCATCAGTGAGTGGGACGTGCTTCCCTAAGAGGCTCTGCGCTCACCAAATTAGTGCAGAGTAAATAAGATAGGTCCTAGTAATAATTTTAAAGTAGATGATTTAAGATAACAGTTCATTCCCTGAGCCCCAGATCCCAATCACAACCGCAGAGGGAAGGTCGGAAACATCAAGATGCTCCACAGGGGGATGGGAATGGTGGTGATGAGCTCATTATAGACACCGCACCCAGCCTCGAGTGCACTAACACAAAAGACTACGAGGGGGCGATGTTGCTACATGCACATTTTCTGGAACCCTAACTTGTCCTCTAGGGCGTCCTCCTGGTGTGCATGGCCTTTTTCCATTCATTCAACATTTACTCATTTTTTGTACATTCTAGTTTGCGATGGAATGAATGAATAAAAGAAACAGGAGAGACATTTTGGTTCTCTGAGGCTCTCTGGTGTGCAAATCCCCTCTGCGAAAGCCCAGGTGCTGGTGGGATTTGGTCCCCGCTCTTAAGGCTGCAGGTTTGGCAGGGAGGTTCCACAGACACCAACAGCCAGTGGTAGAGTTACCCGTGCAATTTAAGGCATTCGAGGGGCACAGCTCTTTGGTGCCATCACTCAGCCATTTGCCACACATATCCTGAGGCTGCCGGGAGAGATGAGGGTCAGACCTGCATGGCCCTTCCTGTGTCTTTGACAATTGCCTTAGGGCATCTGGCGACTATGCACACAGTGCCCAGGCACCCGGGAAGGATCTCTTTCTCTGTCTGGAGGGGTTATGGGGAGGCTTCTAGGTGACCAGCCCTTGAGCAGTGTCCAGAAGAGAGAGCAGCCACCTGCTGGGGGCCAAGATGGGGGAAGACTGTCCAGGGCAGAGGGAACAGTATGTGATGTGCCAAGGCCAAGAGACGTGGGTGGATGCTGGACCTAGTTAGGGGACCTGAGAGGGTTTGGTGGGACCGGAGCATGAGATGAAAGGAGGAAATCAGAGAGACAAGGCCAGAGGGACTGACAGCACTGCATGCTAGGGGTTTTCCCCCAGGGCACTGGGGAGTCCCCGGAGGGCCGTGAGCAGGAAGGGGCAGAGTCAGTTCTCGGCATAGAAACTCTAGCGCCATGTGGGGGATGCACGGGAAGCTGGGGAGGAGGCTGAGGGCTAGGGAGAGAGGATGAGGACTGAAGTGGACAGAGAGGGGATGGGACAGAGAGGGTCAGGGAGCAGGAGGGTGGAGCTTAGGGGCTTCTGGGCTGTGGCTGGGGGAGACACGGACAGCACCCAAGCACTGTGTGGATAGTGGGGAGCCAAGCTGGTAGTCCAGGCCAGAGAAGACACAGTGGGCTGGGACTGTGAGGACGGAACGAAGGAAGTAGATGAATTTCTGTTTTTTCTTGAGTGGTCCAAGAGGTTTTGCGCGCGCGCGTGTGTGTGTGTACAAATACATGTGTGCGTTTATAAAGAGGAAGATAGTCAATCCTCATGATTCACAAGTTCCGTATTTGTGAATTTGCCTGTTCACCGAAAGGTATTTGTAACTGCAGATTCGGTACTCACAGTGCTTTCCAGATCATTCTCAGACACACGCAGAGTAGAGAAAATTTTGAGTTCTCTGATGCGCGCAATCCCAGCCGAGGTCAAAAAAGGTGATGCTCTGCCTTCTCATTTTGAATCTCACCCTATAAATAAGGGTCTTTTTTTTTTTTTAAAGATTTTATTTATTTATTTGAGAGAGAGAGAATGAGAGACAGAGAGCATGGGAGGGGGGAGGGTCAGAGGGAGAAGCAGACTCCCCGCCTAGCAGGGAGCCCGATGCGGGACTCGATCCCGGGACTCCAGGATCATGACCTGAGCCGAAGGCAGTCGCTTAACCAACTGAGCCACCCAGGCGCCCTAAATAAGGGTCCTTTATGTGGTCCGTTTAATGCCAGATTTCTGTGCTTTTCATTAGTGGCTGGCGATTTCGCTGTTTAAAATGGTCCCACAGGGCACCTGAGTGGCTCAGTCGGTTAAGCGTCTGCCTTCGGCTCAGGTGATGATCCCAGGGTCCTGGGATCGAGCCCTGCATCGGGCTCCCTGCTCGGCGGAGAGCCTGCTTCTCCCTCTCCCTCTGTCTGCCGCTCTGCCTACTTGTGCTCTCTATCTCTGTTAAATAAATAAATAAAAATCTTTTAAAAAATAATTAAAAAAAAATAAAATGGTCCCACACATGGTGCTGAAGAGCTGTCTAGTGTTCCTAAAGTGTAAGCAGGCTGGGATGTGCCTTACAGAGAAAATGGGTGTGTTAGGTGGGCATCCTTCAGGCACGAGATATAGTGCTGCTGGCTGTGAGTTCAATGTGAATAAATCAACAATATATTAAGCAAGGTATCTTTATTTTTTTTTAAAGATTTTATTTATTTATTTGAGAGAGAGAGCGTGCACATGAGAGGGGGGAGGGTCAGAGGGAGAAGCAGACTCCCCGCCTAGCAGGGAGCCCGATGCGGGACTCGATCCCGGGACTCCAGGATCATGACCTGAGCCGAAGGCAGTCGCCCAACCAACTGAGCCACCCAGGCGTCCCAAGCAAGGTATCTTTAAACACAAACACACATAAGACAAAGTTAAATAGGGATCAGTTGAAGTCACAAGGAAAACATTGTAACCATAACCCCGCAGGAACCTGATGCTATGTTTCCCCTAAAAGCATTCACTGATTGGGTGTTGGCAGCCCCACTACAGGGCATAACTACCACAAGTAACAGGAGTCTCTGGTACATCTGCTAGACATTCTGCTTTAAAAGTTTTCTCTCCCTTCCCTAAAAGACCTCTTGCATGCACCTCTGTCCTGTCAGGTTTCTTGACAACCCGGAGACCCTCGTGGGACGGTGCAGTCGCTGGACCTGTCCCTCAGGTATGTCCTGCAGGGGGACGGAACAGTTGGGGGCTGTGGTGGGGACGGGTGGCTTGGGTCCATCCTGGCGTTGCCTCTCCAAATTGCATGTGCATCTGTGCCCCTTCTAGAAAAACCAAAATCTTCCCCCCAAAATCCAGAAGTGTCTCTGAAGAACAACATACACACACACACAGCCACACACAATATTGTATTTCTCTACGAAAATTTCTTTGGGATGGCAATACAGGCCAGGTTCTGCCAGGTGATTCTTCTCCTGGTCCCACAAGGCAGGGGAATGCACACTGATGCCACCATTCGGCGGCTCGACCGGGGCGGGCTTGTTCAGTGCTCCTCTCTCCTGTCTGGCCATTGAAGCTAGCTTGTCACTGGCAGGTCTGGGAGGCCTCAGCTCCGGGCTTCTCCTCAAAGCTCTGTCAGGGCAGCTGTCCAAGAGGACGTGAGGGGACGCTGCAGAGCAGAAGAGGCCCAGAGCATCACTCTGCCACGTTCAAACAAGTCACAAGGCCGTCCCAGACTCACGAGGTGGCCAAGTAGCTCCACCCCGTGATGGGAGAAGCAGCAGACATTGCAAAGGGCCACAGGGCAGAGATGGGGGGGGCTGCACCTCTGCAAGCTCCTGCCGGGGCTTCCTTAATGTATGGAGCAAACACAGATAAATACGCGCACACCTGGCTTTGTCTTACAGAACCGTTGTTTTTACAAAACTATTTTTTTTAAGATTTTATTTATTTATTTGAGAGAGGGTGGGGGGCACGAGCAGGAGGGAGCAGCAGAGCCAAGCAGGGAGCCCGATGCGGGACTCCATCCCAGGATCCCAGGATCATGACCTGAGCCGAAGGCAGACGCTTAACCAACGGAGCGCCCCGCAAAACTACTATTTTTTTTTTTTAAAGATTTTATTTATTTATTTGACAGAGAGATAGAGAACACAAGTAGGCAGAGGGAGAGGGAGAAGCAGGCTCCCCGCAGAGCAGGGAGCCCGATGCGGGACTCGATCCCAGGGCTCCGGGATCATGACCTGAGCCGAAGGCAGCCGCCCAACCGACTGAGCCACCCAGGCGCCCAAAACTACTATTTTTAAAAATGAAAATAGGCTCGCCTTACATACATTTTGGTCAACATCTTGTTTTCATTAATCGACACTGGCTTTTCTGCGTTCTTACTCCTAGATCCACTGCAACCTTTTTTTTTTTTTTAATAGCCACACAATATCCATGATTTGGCTAAACCATCATTTTTTTTTAAGATTTTATTTATTTATTGGACACACAGAGAGAAAGAGCATAGGCAGGGGGAGCGGCAGACAGAGGGAGAAGGACAAGCAGACTCCCCGCCGAGCAGGGAGCCCCATGCGGGACTCAATCCCAGGACCCCGGGATCATGCCCTGAGCTGAAGGCAGACACCTAACCAACTGAGCCACCCAGGCGCCCCAAAACCATCATTCTTAAAGCCAATCCCCATGACTGGAGATTTAGACTGTCTTTTTTTTTTTTTCCCTAGTGTCCCTTCTGTAGAACTTCCACATTGCTCTCTAAACATGAGGCGGAAAGACAGAAATGGGTAGTTTGTCCCTTCTAGCTCAGTAAGGGCTCATTAGTTACCTGAAATCCTGGGTTCAGATCATGGCTCTGCTCAAGTCACTTTCCCCTCCAGCCCTGGGTTCTTGGGCCATGAGGAATGAGCCCCTGGGTTAGTTCCCTGAGGCTCAGCCATTCTAAGCCAAGCTGGTCACTGGGTGTGCGGGGAGGAGAACGTTCTGCACCCCACCACCACCCCGCTCTGCACTACCGGCCAGGGGACTTTCATTGGGTAAATGCCCCTCTGAGCCTCAGCCTCCCCATTGAGTAAAATGGGGCTCATAACAGCCCCTACCTCCCAAGTTGCCCTGAGCACTCGGGCGCTGCCTTGGCTTCTGCTGCAACCCTAATGAAATGTACTTTCTAGCTGGGAGCCCAGCCTGCGATAGGCAGTCCCCAAGTGCAAGCTATTATTGACTATTGTTATTAGTATCATAATTGGCACTTTTTAAACTGTGATGATGGTATTGTATTTATTTAGGGGAAAAAAACCCAAAAGGACCTTTATTTCTCTCTTTTAAAGTAGCCCTTTTAAACTATATCTCTGGGGCCACCGCCTGTTTTGTAGTGGGGGGAGGGTCGTTTGGTTAGTTTGTTTTACGTTTTGAAATAGCTGAGGTTAAGCATCTGACTTCGGCTCAGGTCATGATCCCGGGGTCCTGGGATCCAGCCCTGGGGGGGACTCCGCACTCAGCAGGGAGTCTGCTTCTCCCTCTCCCTCGGCCCCTCCTCCCACTCGCGCCAGCACCCCTCCTTCTGCTTGTGTGTGCTCTCGCTCTCTCAAATAAATAAATAAAATCTTAAAAAAAAAATAAGTAGCCGAGGGAAAAAATCGAAAGAACGTTTCATGGTACGTGAAACTTGTCTAAAATCAGCCTGCAGCGTCCATAAACAGACC